AATATATGAAAGATAATAATTAATTAAATTATAAATATTTAAAATTAAAATAAATAATCTTACAATAAACAACAAAAATAAAACACTTAAAAAAGTTGTCGGGTGATCATTAAGCAACATCTGCAAACCGTGAACATGCATATGTGTTGCTAAATTATTAAAATAGTCATATATTTTTTTATTAATAAATAATATTAATAAAAATCTCAAGGGGAATCGAAGAAAATATTTTAGGACCAAAAAAAAGCTGTGATGAGCCATAGGAATGTTCACTGGAGAATGAAACGCTGGCTGTGATCTGCTTCTCAGTGAAGGACACACAATGCAATCTGATCCTTATGCAGCCTCACTTTCAGAAGAGTCTTCACAGGACACATTGTAATGTACAGAAAAAAAATTAAAGCTGTATTACAATATTTGTTCATTGTCTTGATGTCTCTATGCAGGATTTTAGTATTTTATGCAAAACAATTACATGCAACAGCTTTATAATTAGATGCATAAACTATATTATACATATGTGCATGTGTGTGTTTGTTACCAGTGTTTATGAAGCAGCAGAACTAGCAGCCAAACAGAACAGAGGATCACGCCACAGGCCTCAGCCATCGCAAAAGCCCAGGGGATTCTGGGTACACTGGAGGGAGAAGAGAACAAGGCGAAAGGTTAAAAAAAGAGCAAAACATAATCCTCCTCCAAACAGATGGTGATAATGATGTTATTTTGTGTTTTCGTGCTCATCTTCAGCTGTGAACTCTAACGATGTCCTGTGGTGCGTGATGGAGAAAGTTATCATCAACAGCAAACCTCAAAGCTTACAGATGTCTAAAGGGTGCAACTCATCATCAGAGCGGTTTAGTTTCATTTATGCTGCCAGAAACCTCAAAGAAATTATGTCTAATGAGTTTTAGTCTTTTAGTCTGGGGTGTTAGGGCACAACTCAAATCTGGCATCTTTATATTTCTATTGATGATTTTCATCTCTACATTGATGTATTTTCTCTGAAATGGCTTAAAAATGTGATTTTAATGCAATTAGAGCAAGCATTCCCAAACATTTTTGTCAGCCAAACCTAAAATATTCACTTGTAGTCGCACCTGAAATTTTAAGATAATTTTTAAAAACTTTAAAAAGATATTAAAATTTAAAAAATCTAAAAAGATATTTAAAAGTTAATCATCTAACGGTACATTCACATATATGCAGTTCTCTAATGACAGTTAATGGTCACATGACATGCAGATAAGCAAAAAAAAAAAATGAATAAAATTTTGATTTTATTTTTAAAATAATTATTTTAATTTTAAATGTGAATGTTTTAATTAATTATTAGCTTTTCATCCACTCACCAACCCCAGTTTGGGAAACCATGAATTAGAAAAAACACATTTACGTTCAAGTAGAACTTAAATAATGTTTAAACCACATTAAAGCAGCTTCCAAAGCAGAATCCTAATGGAAACGTGAAACTATCAGTGAATGATCTGATCTGGGCTGCGTTTCCAAAAGCATCATGAGCTGATCGTACAGAACAGTGGTGCAAATTAGCTTATGACTCTTTTGGGAAACACAGCCTTGAATCTCATGCATGTTATACAAATAGTGCTTGTCGTGTGAAGCACAAAAGCTCAACAATATTGGAGAAAGCAGGCAATTATTATTAGGTTTTATCAAGACCAAGTGCATTTTTCTTATTTCAAGATGGAAGATTATGTTTTGCAATGCATTTAGAGATTAAAGAAAGCGAAATAATTATCTAGCCTGCCTTTTAAAACACGCTTTGCATTAGAAAAATGCCTATAATGTCTTAAATTGGTTCATATGTGCAGTTCACAACCTGATGCACATTATTCACAAAAAATGGAAAATGCTAGCTTAAATCACTAACTGCTAGCTGACTTAATGCAACTTTTGGAAAAAGTGATCTTGCAGTCAGTTTTTATTTTTAAATTTTTTAAAAGAAATTAATACTGTAATTCAGCAAGGATGCATTAAAATCACCAATCTTCATATTCTGTGTGGTGGTCAGTTCACAGCAGTGATAGAAATTAATCTTTTCCAATAAGTTTAAATTTATTTTTACCTTTATAAAGCCATTTTTTCTAAAAGTGTGCATCATCGTTTGAGTCAAATTCTTAGATTTAATCAGTCAGTTAGAATAATAAGACATTTGGTCTGTTACCAAGCAAATGAAATCAGTAGCAACAAAATTCATCTTTGCAATGCAGAGGAAACACAGAAGCTGCATCTGAAGTGGCATTTCGATGTGCTTACACACTGTTTAATGCAGCGCAGAGGGACATGGAATGATTTAACCTGTGGTTACAAATGCATAAATAATGTTTTGATATTTTAAACATAAAACGGTGAATACTGATAAATGAAAAGATACTTTAAATGTGAAATTAAAACCAGTAGGTGGC